GCGTGCTGTCTGCAGAAACTGGGCAAAGGCTATAATCTCTTTTTGTGGAGGCTTCTCATTTAGAGCCTTTATGGCTGATCTGGAATGATCAAGAAATGGGATTCTTTTTTTCCTTTCCCCAGAATTGCTATTCTGAAGTTGGAAGACGTGGTGACTAATTGTCTCAAAAGCAGTTCGTTCTTCACACTTTGAAAAGCACATAGATGTGGGGTTTTCTTAGTTACAGTGCAGTTGGTCAATAAAAATGAAATAATTCTGCAAGACCTTTGCTTTTATCCTTTGTGAATTATTCAGCTGCAGTTGTAAACATGGGGATTTTTGATATGGCAACAGCAGCAGTGCTTTGCAAGTGAGAACTAAGGCTGTCCGAATGCTAATGGATCACTGCTGTCTTTCTTACTCCTTAGTTTTTAAGAGCTTATGTTCTTAAATTTCTGCTGGAATACAATGGAAACTATATTAACTGTACTTACAGAGTGGGGAAAAAAGTATGCTGTGCTGACATGATAAAATAATAAGGAATGTGAGTGGGATCAGTTCCACCAGGAAGTAGTGGCAAATGCTCTTTTTTTAAGTAGAAGAACATGAATATCTTTGCATCATTGGGTTGTTTTTTGTTTTCTTGAGTTTTCCTCTCCCTTTCCCAAAGAATTATAGACCTGCTAATCTGTAAAGTTGTAAGTATTTGACAGCACATCATCCTTCTGCGTGGGTCTGATGAGGAAGGAGGTCTTCACAATGTCACTGCTTTTAGTGTCAACCTACTGTTTCTCTCTCCTCCTCCTCCTGGAATTAGAATCAAAGAATCATTTGGGTCAGAAGAGACCTTTAAAGCCTGTCTAGTGCAACTCTGCAGTGAACAGAGACATCCACAGCTCAATCAGGTGCTCAGAATCGCAGAATGGCCAGGGTTGGAAGGGACCTCAAGGATCACGAATCTCCAACCCCCTGCCACACGCAGGGCCACCAACCTCCACATTTAATACCAGCCCAGGCTGCCCAGGACCCCGTCCAGCCTGGCCTTGAACACCTCCAGGGATGGACGGGGCATCACAGCCTCTCTGGGCAGCTGTTCCAGCCCCTCACCACTCTCATAGCAAAGAACTTCCCCCTGCATCAGGCCTTACTATTTTACTCAAGTGGCTGTGAGGTTTCTGGGGCCAATCACGAGAGGAAGGTCTTTACTGTTTTTCAGGGAAATGAACATCATTTAAAGTTAGTCCATGCTTGTGTCAGAAAGAAGTGTTAGAAATTAGCCCCAGGTCTACAGCAGTTACAGGAAGGATTAAACCTAGTGTCACTATATTTTAATAAAGGGCTAAGACTTCTATGAAAAAAAGAAACAAAAAGAACCCATCGCAGTAACTAGCATGTAAAATAAAGATTAATAAGGCTGTACAAAACTCTCTGCTACGAATCATTATAATCTCCTTTTTTGACAAGATTACCAAACTCGTTGACCAGCGGAAACCAGATGATGTAATCGTTTTGGATTTCAGCAAAACTGTTTCCCACAGTGTTTTTCTGAACAACATTTCCAGCATCCAGCTAGACAGAAATATAACGTGATGGGTGAACGACTGGTTGATGAGTTGAGCACAAAGGTTTGTAGGAAATGGTGTTACATCAGGCTGGCAGCCAGTCAGTAATGGGGTTCCACGGAGCTCCTTTTCAGGGCCAGCTGTCTTTAGTGTTCTCATCAATGACTTGGATACAAGACTTGAAGATGTCTTTTCTAGCTTTGGTGAAATTTTTTATGCGGTCCTGCAAGGGCATTGGTTTGGTTTATGCTCTAAATACGTGAGTTTGTTCTTGCTTTGATTATTTTCCTAATTTTCTTCATGTATTTAGCATTAAAAGCAGTAATCGTATTCTTAGAGTGAAGCATTTGATACGTGCACGTGAAATTATCACAAACATGCTAAGGAAATGTGGCCCATTTGAAGAATAACCAGAGTATCTGTAATGATTTCTCTTTGAGATTAGGTGATAAATCAAGGTAGGCTTTGAGTGGGTTGGTTTTACCCATGCCAGCAGACTGGCTCAAAGTCAGTGGAGTCCAAAGAGAACTCTGACCTGTACCAGAGATGAAGGAGCCATTGTGCTCCATTTGATGGAGCAAAGCTTCCAGAGCACTGTACCTGCATGGGCACCGTGCATTAAAAAAAGCTACAGAGGCAACATGCTGCCTTGGAAAGCTCTGTAAATGATCTGTGGTCTAGAAACATCTAAGAATTTAAGAAATTAAGGAAAAGAGAAAGAAAAGGGAAGAAAAACACGTTTGCCAGGCTTGTGGTTTGCATGCATGTGCTGTGAAAAAATGCATGTGTACATGTATGAAAATATTTGTTTAATTCCTCTCAGAATAGGCAACAATTGGAGTTCAGATAAAGTGCTGAAAGTTTCAAGTTGAATGAAAGATCGTGAAGTCATGAAGTAAGGGAATATTTGTAATCCTAACTTTGCACTAGGTTATTTTTTTGTCCCAGATACCAGCTGCTGCTGCGTTCCATACATTTCCCAAGGATTAGTAAAACTTGGAGCTGTACACAATGCGTTTTCAGCTTCTGGCATTTTTAGCACGGTGTCGTTGCACAATACAGTGGGAGGAAATGTCCACGGGGAGAGCTTACTCCTGCAGTAGCTGAAATGCTAAGCTTTTGGCTGCAGTAACAGCCCGCTGCGGGGCAGGGATCTTAGAGTCTTTCTTTTCTGAAATGTGAGGTAGGATTTAAAACGTGAACTCGAACCCATGTCTGCTGGCTGCAAAAGGAGTGTGCTACCATGAGGTGGAACTTCCAGCACCACGGTGAGCATGGGGACTTCAAAGGGAACACACCGCAGTTCCTGTATGCAGAGACGCCTGCAGCACTTGGAGCTGCAGTTAAATTCCATCTGCATGTGTTTGTTCTCCAAAGTGAGGGGAAATCTTTTGGTTGCCCCGCGGTTCACATTTTTATGAGCACCTTGCATAATGCCCTGTTCCATGTCTTTGCAGTGCAGGGTCTCCCTCCGTGACCAGGTGAAATCCCTCAGAGCTCCCATGCTGCAGGCTGCTCTTAGGGTTTGTAGTGGTTGTTATCAGTTCTGTCTGCCAAAGGAGCTGGACAGCAAACAGAGATGGGGGGAGGTTATAAAGGATGCAGTCTGCATTTTTCTGTGGTATCATTTCTGACTGATGATCAGTCAACGTAAGTGGATGTTGGCAAAAGTGTCAAGTAAGCTGGGTGGGGATTTAAAACCATTATTTTGTTAATATTTGAAAATCTATTTGTGTTTGGTTGTGCAATCTCTAATGAATTATCAGCTTCAAACTAAGCGAGGGAAATCAATAATGTCTTAGTTGTAAGAACAGGGCTGTGATTTAAGAGAATACTTGCCATTAAACTAGTCTCTAGAAAGTTTTGTAATAAAATAGGCGAGATCTCTGTGAAACAAAAAGTAAGAGAGCATCTTTGTCCTGTTCACCCATTGCTGTGCAACATCTTTGGTTTGAAGGACGTGTGTGTTTGTGTGTACAAACCAAGGGACTGGACAGTTTATGAGACTTACAAATGGAAATTTGCCCAGAGATGTGGTGGATGCCTTATCCTTGGAGACATTCAAGGTCCAGCTGGATGGGGCTCTGAGCACCTGATGGAGCTGTAGGTATCCCTGTTCACTGCAGGGGAGTTGGGCCAGGTGGCCTTTAAGGGTCCCTTCCAACTCAAACCGTTCTGTGATTCTATGATTCTAGTCTATGAAATCAATAAGAAAAGAGCATGAGGACAGTCTGAAATAGATCTTTTGCACAGGAGAGAAAGAAATCGGCCTGCACTGACATCTGTGCCCACAGTCACCTCAAGCATGTGGCCAGGTGGGTCTGTCTGAGGGGTGTTTGGTGTCTGTGGCTGCCACTGCGTTGCCAGTTGAGCTGACAGATCTCACCTCGTTGCCTCATTTTGCAGTCAACTTCCACAATTATTAATAAGCCACAAAAGAAATAGAAGATGTAAGAACTGCAGTTTCTGCAAAAGAATCTGGGACATCTCCCTCACTGCAGTGCCTTCGCTCCTCTAAGCAGCCAAGCCAGGACAACTCCAACACTGCAGCCATCAGACAGAATCAAAGAGAACATTGTGCCATCCTGGGGCGTTTATGAAGGTTGCTGAGCAATGTGTGTTTGCTGTCCAGTGACAGTTATTGTTAATGTCTGTGCATTAGAATTCAGAGCAGTGTGACCACAAAAGCAGCATCAGGACCTGCAGCAGGCCAGGTCCATCTAGCGGCCAGCGAAGGCACGTGCAGCATGTAGCAATGCGGATTGCACTGGCTGCATTTCAGCACGATATGTACGCTAATTCTGATCATTTAGAGAGGGGAAAAAAAGAGGCTGGGGGAGAAAGAAAGAAATGATGAGTGAGTCTACACAGCAGCTGTCTTTCAGGTGTGCAGGCAGCCATTTCACGTGGCTGTTTCAAACTCTGAGTGAAGAAGCAGGCAAGCAGAAGAGCAGGGTGGCTCCGTGGCACACGCTGTGCAGTACTCGGGGACGTTCTCCTCAGTCGTTTCAACTGGGGGAGAAAATCACCAGTAGCTAAGTACAAAACACGATGCTCAGTTGTGGATTTCAGTGCCCTGTGCCAGTAGCACAGACAAATTTAATTAAAGTTAACAGCTTAAACATCTGCCAGACTCCAGAAAGTGTCCTGGTGAGAAGATGTGCTTTGGGCACCACGATTAATTTCCTGTCTTTTCCCTTTCTGTCTGGCAGGATCTCAGTGGCCCTATTTCAAAGCCACCCTCTGCAGTCCCCCCTATATCACCATGCTGCCCCTCACCCTACTGGTATCCACCCTGTACCCTCAGCACCTCTCAACTTGATAAGCAGGCTGGGGAGATGCTGAACTGGTTTGGAAAGAGAAGTCCCAAGTGTACATGGTACAACTGTGTGTATGCACACTGCTCCTTCCATGGAGCAATCCCAGATTCAGCAATTGTTCCAAAGACATCAGCACAGCTTTAAGTTTTAAAGTAACACTTCACAGGATTGACATTTATTAACTGTACACATCACATCAACACACAAGTGGTCCACAACAAACTCATCCTAGAGTATCTGTGAGTATAAAATAGAGGAGCGTTGATACTTTGTGGCTTGCACAGCTTCCAAGGTACAGGACTTTGTGTGTTGCTTGAGGTGGGAAACCAGTGGTGTGGTGCACTGTTCTTCCTTTGTTTTCCTTCGTTCTGTGTTGGTGTTTTCTTCTTCTCTTGAATGGAAAGGAGGACCCTTCATTTGCTCTTGTTGCACTCTTGCTGAGTTTACTTTTTGTTCCTGCTTCCTGTACATCAAGCATGCAGCCATCTGTGCCTTCCTGCTTGCCCATCCTCTGTGTGTTTATGCCTTGCTGGTTTATCAAGTGCCTTTTGCTACTGCAATTGTTACATATCTACAAAGTGCTTAGCCATACTCCGTGGTTATGCTTGGTTAATTTGCTTCCGCTTTTTAGGAGCAATAGGGAACAGCTATAGCAACCTGGTCCTGCTGGGTGACCATTCAGTCCCAACAGTGAGTATCTGTGTCTCTTAAAGGACAGGGTGATTGCACAAGGGAAAAAGTAAATGCTGCTTCTAATCATCATCATCTTGGGAAGGTGTCCAACATTGTCTTATATGTGTCCTGGAGAAGCAATCCTGAGCATTTCCTGTTGAGGCATGGCAAATGGAAACAAATGCACTATACTCTTTGTTCATAGAAGAAGAACAGGAATATGTTTACTGACATAAGATGCTGTTAAATCACAACATTAACAAGATGGCTGGATACGTGTGATGTTCTGCATAGAGGGTAGGTTAAATACATACAGGGCCCTCCTGTTGAGTCACAAGGTTCAGAATGGATCCCTTTGCTTCCTAAACTCCTTGGGCCACAGGGGTAAGGAGCCTAAGTGTGGCTGGATCCTCTCCTAGTCCCAGAATTGGTCAGCAGTTTTTGTCACAATCAATCCAAGATGTGATATTAGCAAAGCTAAAAAAAAAAAAAAAAAAGACAGAACAGGTTATTAGTCATTTACTGAGGATCTGTATCAAGGTGTCTTGACATCAAGGTGTAAGGATTCTCTGCATAGGCATAACTTTGAGAGGCATTTTTACTCACAAGGAGATGCAACTGTGCAGGAGAGCTTAAAGGGGCTCTTGGGCTACTCACCGTTTATGGGGTAAGATGATTGACTTGTAGTCATTGTGTTGTCTGAAGTTTGGAGTACCAAAGTGGAAGGAATGGAGTTTCTGTCTTACAGCAGAAAGGAGGCAGGGAAGGAAGAGCTACTTGAAGTGCAAGTGAGGAAACTGTAAGCATGGGGCACACCGGTGGAGCTGAGTGCCTCCAGCACTGAGACAGGCTGAAGCACCCTGCTCCGTGCAGGAGGGAGGCTACCCATTAGAACTAGTGGTAGGAATTCCTTCTGCCCCTGACACCTAAGATCTTGGGATAGATGGAAGACCCCTGTCTTGGCATCTCCACTGAAGTCGAGTTATGAGTTGTGCTGAGTTACATGCCTGGGAGGTGTGTGTCCATCTTCTTTGCTGGACATGGACATGACTTTGGACACAAGGACCCCATGCATCACTACAGGCTTGGGGCAGAGTGGCTGGAAAGCTGTGCAGAGGAAACTGACTCGGGGGTGTTGGTCAGTGCTCAGCTGAACATGAGCCAGCAGTGTGCTCACGTGTCCAAGAGGGCAACGGCATCCTGGCTTGTATCAGAAATAGTGTTGCCAGCAGGAGCAGGGGGGTGATCATCCCTCTGTACTCAGCTCTGGTGAGGCCTCTGCTGAGTACTGTGTTCAGTGTTAAGCCTCTCACTGCAAGAAAGACATCAAGGCCCTGGAGAGTGTCCAGAGAAGGGCAAAGAAGCTGTGAGGGGTCTGAAGCACAAGCCTTATGCGGAGCAGCTGAGGGAACCGGGATTCCTCAGACTGGAGAAAAGGATGCTCAGGAGAGACACTATTGGTGTCTACAACTACTGAAAGGAGCTTGTGGTGGTGGGGATCAGCCTCTTCTGTGCAACTAGCAGGAATACAAGAGGGAGTGACCTTAAGTTACACCAGGGAAAGTTCAGGTTGGATATTAGGAAGAATTCATCCTCAGAATGGTCAGGCATTGGAACAGGCTGCCCAGGGAGATGGTGGGGTCAGCATCCCTGGAGGTGTTTAAGGAAAGGGCAGATGTAGTACTTAGGGACATGTTTTAGAGGGCAATGCTAGTGATAGGTAAACAGTGGGACTGAATGATCTTAAAGGCCTTCTCCAATGAAAAATGATTCTATGATTCTTGCAAGCAGATTTTCCTTTTCTAGATGCAGTTTCAAACGCAGTAATCCACATCAAGATTGTGTTCACACAGTTTGATTGAACAGAGAGTATTTTAGGCGTAATATTAAAAACTCAGTTATACTGAAGGAAGAATTTTGGATCACGGAATTGCAGGGGTTGGAAGAGAACTCATGAGATCATCGAGTCCAACCCCCCCTGCTAAAACTCATTCAGCTCTCATGAATGCTGTTTGAGAATGGGTGGAACCCAACTTCCTGCTCATTGCTCAGTCTTTCCTTACATTGGTTTCCTTACCTCCTGGCATCCCTTGGATTTGTAAATAGTCTTGGGCTGTTACTGGCACTCATCTGAAATAGCATCAGTGCACTCCAAATAAGAAAAAGATGAATGACACCATCCTGCAGGATTTCATCTGGCTGGATGTGCTTTTGTGGAGACAAACCTACAAAAGAAAATTGGTTAGTCACTGATGCATCTGATGTAGTTTCTCAGCTTCTAAGCTGTTACACTGATGTATGTCTTCTGCTGTATTGTGCTGCAAACTTCTGATTTAAATCTGTTTCTTTACTGCAATGTTTTCTTGCACTTTATCATAAAGACTATTTTTTTGTCTAGAAAAACTTAGAGATTGGGGTTCAGGTCCCTGCAGGTTGACTAAGGGCATTTCCACAAATGCATAAAAACCTCTTTAACTTCATGTTTGGACTATTCTGTGCTCTGATGCTAAAACAGCTGATTGGTTGCTTCCTTATTCCTTCCTTTTCAGAACATCAGCACTGGGGCTCAGACCTACAGCTTCCCCAAATACCTTTTGAAGAAATCATCTACAATGATGAGAGTGCCTACAAGTGGCTGCGCACCCTGAAGAAGATGGGAGTTGTGCTGCTAACAGGAGCTGCTGCAAGGCAGGGAGAGTTGGTGAAGCTTGGCCACAGGATTGGTTTCCTGCGTCTCACTTTTTATGGGTGAGTTGGGATTTTTAATAACCTTGCTTTGCCAGCTATGTAATTACTTCCAGAGCATTTGAATTCAGCTTGCTGGACGTCTCTTGTGGGTTAATTTATTAAAACAGGATTAATTTTTCCTTGCCTGCAGATGCAAGGACAATTCTTATTGAAAAGCCACAAGCAGATCCACAAGGCAGCACTGTGTACCCCATGAGGCTACGCAGAAGGCCTCTTCCAAATTGCTATATCCACAAACAACAGTGGACTCTGCAGCTTGGCCTAGGTTACCCCTTCCTTGGTGAGATTTCTGGAGCAGGTTCCCATCTTAACTTCAGTTAATGTGTTGTCCAGGAACGGACAACACACTGAGGAGGAGAGGTAAAATGGAGGCTGGTTGAAATCCGGAACCCAGTTCCACTGCATGTCCCATGCCCCTCTGGGCACAGATCCCAGCCATGTATGCTCCTGGGATAATAGATACTAAAGCACAGTTATTTCTTGTGCCTGAATAGACCCCAAAACCAGAATATTTAGAGCTTTCAGCTAGAAAGCTCCCTTCTCCCCTATAAAAAAAAAAACCTATATGTAAGACTTGTCCTTCACTTGGACCTACCTCATTCAGAAAATAACCAGGTAAACTATGTGGGCAACAGCCAGTGTCTCTTGCATTGACTAAATGGCTTAAAACAGAAAGAAGTAGAAATATAAAAAGTCAGCCTTTGCCAGAAGGACCACATTCCATCCAGTCTTCAACTCAGACGGGGAGATTTTCTTCCCCTTCATGCAGTCGGAGGCTTTTTTCTTCCCCCTTTCTACTTACTGGGCCAGAAAGAAAAGTAGATTTCAATGTTAGCTGGGACTCAGTCATGTCAATCCTTCTAAAACCAATGGGAACAGAACTCCCTGCTTGACTTGGAAACCTCACCTAGTGCTAGTTAACATGTTCTGCTTTTAAAAGCATTCCTGATGTCAGGCACTTCTCTGCTTGGCAGCCCACCACTGGTCTTACTTGACAGCTTGTGCCATGATGAAAGTGGTACTTCTTGCTGTTTCTGTTCTGACGTGATCCTAGTAAGAAAGTTAAGCCAACAAAAGATTCAGATTTACTTGTATCATCAGTTGGAGGGTTGGTTTGTTTGTTTGTTCTACATCTCTTTCATGAATTTAGACGTACCTCACCGATTCTCACCAAATAGGATTATAAATAGCAGTGTTTACTAAATACTTCCCCTTGTTTCAGGCCAAGGTGGAAACTGGACACCAGTCCACACCATTTGGACAAATAACAGTTAGAGCTGCTTTCACTGTTTAAATCAAATTCTCTGTTGGTGTTGACTAAACCTTATTTTCCCGCTGTTAATCACAAAGACTGTAACCAGAAAGTTGGGCTGCAAAGCATTAACCCTTCTCAAAAGAGTCACTCCCTATTTTGCTGCACAACGGTTAGCCACATCTCCTCACAGTAGGCTTACACGCACCTTGGCACACACGGTGCTCATGAAATGGGCTTTAAATGACTCTTCAGACCATGCTTTTTTTTAAGTCTTTTAAAAAATAGTTCTATTACTTTGGCTTATTTTTGGGGGGTAGCGGTGCTGGCTTTTTTCAAGTGTTTTATAAGAACTGCTGTTGCTTAATTTTTGCCATGTATATCTCGAATCCACTCTTAAAATACTACTAAAATAGAAGAGAGAAGACTTTACCTATGGTATCTTTTCTCCTAAGTTAACCTGTTTAATTTTCAGGCAGTTAGTGCTGTACCCAGCTGTGCTGTTCTCAGACATTGCTCGCAGTAGCAGAAACTCTCCTGAGCTTCCAGCCTTAACAACAGGCTTAGAGCCATTTTATGTCTCGTCCTCTCTAAAAAAGTTCATAGATTACTGGCAGACAGTTCTAAAAAGAGATTTTTAGAACTGTAATAAAATAACCGTTGCTAATCCCCTTGCTATTTCACCAGTGCCCAAATGCAAGACATAACAAATACTGTAAAGGAAAGGGATGACTTTTGGATTGGTCCAGCTTGGCAAATAAAACATACCTCTGTAGGGCCATGTATGCTTACTGGAACGTAACAGTAGCAGATCTATCCCTTTTTTCACTTCTAGATGTCTGCTTGGTACATGCTGCCCTACAGTGTCATCAGAATCACAGAAAGGCTTGGGTTGGAAGGGCCCTTAAAGGCCATCCAGTTCCAACCCCCTGCCACAGGCTGCTTCCCACCCACCTGAGCAGGCTGCCCCATCCTGCTGGCCTTGAGCACCCCCAGGGATGGGGCATTCACAGCTTCTCTGGGCTTTTACCCCTTTACCCCTCCCAGAGGGCTCTGGCTGCCATAGAAGGATGCAGGTCCCAAACCTTTTGTGAATGAGATCTCAGTTTTTAACACAGTGCGAGGCCAGACAATTTACATGCGGCTTCAGTTCCTACTGCAACCATTTGCCAAAACTAAAGATGTGCCAGGCACACTTGTTCTCTGCTCAGAGAGACTGAGCTCACATTGCCTCTTAATGCCAAAAAAAAATTGCTACACCTGCCTGGTGCCAAATTTCCTGCTCAGTCAAACAGTATGAGCAATTGAGGTTAAAATTTAACCGTGATTTCTAAGTCATAAACCATTCCAACTGCTCTCCTCTCTCTGAGGGTGAGAGCTTCCTCACACTACCTGCGTTTTTTTTCCTTCACTTATCCTGCACTTGCTGGCTCTCCACGTGGCTGAGTTCATGCTTCAGAGCCATTGATACCCTGACAAAGTGAAACTGATTATTTTCCACGCTTAACAGCCGGCTCCCTATTTGCACTGCTTTCTCTTTTTTAACCATGGCTGGCTGCAGACAGTGATGAGCTTTGACAGCAGCTCCACACGTGGAGAGGTTCTCGGGGACCAGCTTCCTACCAAGCATAGCAGCAGGACAGCTCTGACTTCCCTCGCAAGGTGGTGTCGCAGTGACTTGTAAATGATTCTCATTCCAGCAATCCTATGTAGAATTGCAGAATTGTTTGAATTGGAAGGGACCAAAGTCATCTAGTCCAACTCCCCTGCAATGAACAAAAAGCATCTGTGGATATATAATATGATTTTGGTCTCTATGTTCTTTAGCCTCTGTTTTAAATATTAAGAAGTAAGACTTGAGCACACTACAAATAGTATATTTGGTGTACAGTAGTTAAAGTAGGAAATAAAATGAGTTTTATATTTTTATTTTAAGTAATTTATGCTCTTGTGATGCCACAGCCTGCTTCTGGTGACATATATAGACAGGGATCTACGCTATGCTTTTGTTGAGGGCTGCCTTCAGGCATGTGCTCTGTACAATCCTAACATGTGATTCATGTGATAATATGTGCTCTGTATAATCCTAACATGCGATAATTTCATATCATTTTGAATGTTCAAAGACGCAGTAACTCTCCTCTACTCTGATTTCACACTTTCACCTTGCACTGGCTGATTGCTCAACATGTTTGCTCTTTGCCCTTTCATTGTACAGGCCAACTTGGCAAGTGCGGGACAAAGCAGATGCCAACAATGTGGCTTACACAACAGGGAAGCTGTGCTTTCACACCGACTACCCTGTCCTGCAGCACCCACCTGGGGTAAGGTGAACCTACCAGCTTCTTCACAATGCAAAGGGGGAAAGCATGAGGGTCCGGTATGTGCTTTTGATACTGTTCATTATAACAAAGCAGTTGGGTGTTTAGATGCTGCAGCCACATTGTGACATCTTAGGAGAAGAGGAGAAGCAACTGGGAGAAGAACGATTAAGATACTGTATTGCCTTCTGCAAACTGGCTGAGGTTAGACAAGTTTTCACCCTTTCACAGAATCACAGAAACACCAAGGTTGGAAAAGACCTACAGGCTCATTCAGTCCAACCGTCCACCTATCACCAATAGTTCTCACTAAACCACATCCCTCACCACAACGCCTGCACGTTCCTTTCATGAAGGAGCACTCTGTAAAGCTGAACCACCGCAGGAAATAGGTGGTCACCCCCGCCCTGTCACAGCAAAGCCTGATCCACTTCCTCAGAGAGCTGAAAAGTAATAGAAACGTGTGCAAAGGAACAAGTTAATCCTGCAAAGGTTTGCATCTATACCTACTGCTTCCCTTTCTTATTCATCAAGAGTACTTCATATCATTTTTTTCAGTAATTAAAAAGTCAGCGTGGTTTATCCACATATAAATGCCAGATTAACACTGCCTATTTAAGATGCTCTTCATTAACATAATACTAAGATTAAGAATAGAACAGTTGTAGCAAGTGGACAGATCAATAGAATGGGATAAGTGTTACAACAAAGGTGAGATGATAAAAGGACTGGAACAATAGAGAGCTGCTATAAGGGAAGGGAAGAAGGTTGCTTAGCTGTGTCAGAAGATTCTAGAATGACAGGGAAAGCTTCACCAAGGAGGGATGTCCAGAAAGAGATCCTGCCCCAGTAGCAGTCAGCCCCTAAATGAGGTCCTAAGAGAGATGGAGCCAGGCTCCTCTCCTGGTCACACAGCTGAATTGCCTTCACCTGTGCTCCAGGGCTGACCAGGTCCTTTCCCCAGGTGCTCAATCAGTGGCTCAGGCCATGACTCAACAGTTCCCCTACAACACTACTTTGTTAATTGAGCACAGATGTGAATTAGCTCAGTGTCTTGTGTGTGCCAAGGCTCTCACTGCTACCAAACGTGAGTAAAAGGGCAAAACCTTTTTTCATGCAAATATGCTCACAAGGCATGGAATCCAAAGGCAGTGGGACAATAGGGTAGGAAGCTGCTGCATCGTGTGGATAAGTTATTTGTAGCCTTTGCAAGCCAATGAAGATTAGAGGAGGAATGGCTGTCTGCCGGTCTTGGACAGAGCTGCTTCCTTCTGCTTTATGCTGGTGGAGTCCCCTCCTGCAGCAGCAGCTGCTCGGTCCTTCTCTCAAGGGCTGTGGGTGCAGCACTGCAGTAGACTGTGGCAAACTGTTCTCTGCTTCTCTCTCCCCAGTGTTTCTTATTTTTCCTCCACTGTCTCAGAAATAGTTCACTACCATGGAAGGGAAATGTGGCCATTGTTAGCTTTTAGCATTTTTAAGGGTAGCTGTGTTTGCATGACAGATGTGTATTGTCTAGTTTGGCCAAGCTTAATGTGCTTTGCATGATGCTTGACTTGTCAGCATCCCAGGGAGTTCCTGTTCCATCCTACTCCTTGGCAATTTCACTATGAAGTGCAATTAAGCTTCCTCAATCCTATTTTATTACAGATACTAGGCCTGTTGCCATCGGTAAGCCATCAGTAAGCCACCTTTCCCCCTATGTGAACAGATAACTCACAATGCAGGAGCAAACTAATCCTCTTTGGAGCAATAAGGAGGGAGACTGCAGCAAAAAGCAGTTTGAGAGAAAGAACTGACAGCAGAGACTTGCAGAAAATAATAACAGGCTGCAAGGGTTAGAAGATCTCTCAAAGGGGATGCAATTAGAGTACTTCAATTTTCTGCTTACATGATAATGGTTGCAGAGTGCTATGAAGCTAGAGGAGTTGAAACTTAGTGTTTTGCTTGGAAAAAACCACACCGATATGAGGAGACTGATTCTAATGGACTGTTAAATACAGAAGCTAATTCTTCTTGAAATGAGATCTTAATTCATTACAGGTTCAGCTTCTTCACTGCATTAAACAAACAGCCACAGGAGGTGAGAGTGAAATTGTAGATGGATTTCATGCAGCTAACAAGCTGAAGCACCAAAATCCTCAAGCTTATCAGATCCTGACCTCTACTGCTGTAGACTACACGGACGTTGGGGTTGACTACTGTGATTTTGCTGTGCAGGGAAAACAAAGGATCATAGAGTAAGTAGCCTCCATTCTCACACTATTACTTTAGAAACTAAAGTTGTTGATGTATATATGGAGGAACATGTGTTGGCAGGTCTGCTCCTGCCACCTCGTGGGGAAATGGTGGCTTCACTGGGCTGGGGTTACATTTGTGGTTTTATTTTTTTGGCCAGCATGCTATTTTTCTTCCCTTTGTCTCACTACAGCATAGTTTTCCTTATTCAGTGTCCCTTACAACACTAGCACAAACTCGTGGGCATTAGGGTAACTTCTAGGCATGGTGTCTCAGCAGTTGGGCTTGTTACTGAACTCCAGTCCGTGCTGCGTGTCTGCACATCTGTACCATGCCAAAGAGAGGTCCTCATTTGAAGCATTCAGACTAAGAAACTACACACTATAAAAAGATCAAATTCAACTTTTTCTGAATTTTAAAACTTTGGCTCTGTGATTAATGTGTACAGAATACTGATTTTTGTGGAGACTGGTTGCATTTTTTTCTGATGACCCCTTTCCCTCGTTAGGATTGATTATCAACTTCCAACCCAATAATCCTCTTGAATGAAGGAAATGAACTTGTCCTTTTACACAGAATTGAATTTAGTTGTAGAACAACACTGAAGCTTCAACAGGAGAGTTCAGTCATCCATTAGACACGTCAAAAGGTTTCTGTTCCTTTCCTCATCTGTTTTGCAGTGTGGATTACAGAGGCCAACCAGTTCGCATCAATTTCAATAATGCAACAAGAGACACAGTGTTTGACATACCAGCTGAAGAAGTGAGGCCGTTTTATGCAGCTCTAAAGGAATTCAATGACTTATTAAACAGCACAGAACACAAGTTTACTTTCAAGCTGAAACCAGGTCAGTAAGTTGTTTCTCTTTGCTGTGATTTTTCACATTTTTCCTAACACGTCAAAACATTCTAGCACTGTTAGCTCTACCCTGGCACAGAGAGGAAATTTCAGCCCTTCTGTCACCTGTTTCATTTCACTGCTGTATCCTTACATAGTTTCTTCTGCTGTTGCTTCACTATGAAAAAACAAACAAACCACAAACACCACAGTTAGTGATGGGCAATGCAGTCTATCTTCTTGTGACAGTGAGAACTCGTGCCATGTAGGAAGCATGTCGCAACAGTAGCACCTGACACTTGCACAGCTGTTGGGCCATCCCAGTTCACCACATCCTCATCCCTCTGCTTCATTTGATGCACAGCGCTCCACACTGTTGGAGGGGCACCTTTATAACTGCTGCAGAACAGCTCAGAAATCACAGATGCACAATGCTAAGGGAGACCAACTGCACAGCAGGGAATTCAGCTGTCTTCTGTGCGCAGACACTGAATGCCTGAGTACAGAGCTATGTTCTGAACATGTAACTGCACAGATGTTCTTTAAAAGTCAGCAGATTTTTAACTAGCTTGGCCTGAATCTCAGATCCTTTATTCTCCAGCTATAAAATAAAGATATGTACAGTCCCTTACCTCTCACAAGGTGTCACAGAAGTAAACTGGTTAGTGTATCTGACTGCCTTGCACACTGTGATGCTACTTGCTTTAAAATATCTGTGAGGAAACTAATTATTACCTATTCTGAACACACAAGAAAATAATGTATAAGATCACATAATAAATGGTAAAACAAAGTACTTCAAAGTACCATCAATTAATGCTCTAAAATGGTGGTAGAGGGAAGAGAGAGGAGGAAAGAAAAGGTATGAGGTTAGTTAATTAGAGATTTTTAATTAGAGATTTTATCATAATGGTAGCACACAAGGGAGAAAAATTGAACTGGCAAGCTGGCCTTAGTTATGCCAGTTCTTAACTTCCTCTCTTTTAACAGGGATAGTAATGCAGGATGCATATTGTATAAGTACTTCCAGACTGATCAAAAGAAAATCACCTTATGCCTTTCATCCCTTCTGCCCTTCCCATGGATTTGCAGTTGTGCTTCTGTTCAGGAGGTGCTTTTCTTCGGAGTGTGGATCCCCTAACACTTAACTTAATTGTGCCTCTGAGTTGTGGCAAGCCTACATACCCCTGGGGCTACATAATGCACTGGGCTAAGCCCCAGCTGCAGGCTTTCTGTTGATCTCTGTAGCTAGCATCACCTCAGAACAACTTTTTCCAAACAATAACCACATGGATAAATGAGGTGGAAAGTTAACATAAAAGGTATGTGTTGTACATTACTCTGGTCTATCGTTCTTGCACAGTTCTGGCAGATTCTATTTGTCCACGCATCCCAGCATCTGGGATGAAAAATGTGAATTCTTTTATTGGCAGAAGTTCTTTTTTAAACAAGGCCTTCTTATAAGGAAACTTGTCTAATCATGTTGTCTAAGATATCCCAGCTGGTTTCTTTTCTACTGGCCAATCTCATGGGCAGGCAGAAGAAAAGCAGTAGAGTTGGAGAGGGACCTGCCCCTTCTTTGAAATGATCGCTCCCTAGCTGTTGATCGAGGTGTACCTCAATGTTGTCTGCTTGAAGGAATATAACTTACCAGATGTCAGAGGCTGTGCAATCTCTTTGCAGGAGACATAATAACGTTTGATAACTGGCGAGTGCTGCACGGCCGCAGGAGCTACCACTCAGGCTCTGAAGTGACACGTCACCTCGAGGGCGCCTACGCAGACTGGGATGTGGTCATGTCGAGGCTCCGGCTCCTCCGAAAGAGGGTCCTCAATAGGGACTGAGTTTCCTGCTGACTAGAGCAAGCAAAACTAGATTGCCTGGCATCAAAAAAAAAGAAAAAAAACCCACTGTATTTTAATTGAGAAACTAACGAAGTGAATATCTGAATCTATTACTGATTTCCATTAGCTGCTAAGAAAGCTGTCACTCAGCACAACATAAGGTCTGGTAATTTAAGAGTGAATCACTACCTCACTGAGTTTAAAGCCATTTTTTCCACACAGTTTAAAAAGCAAATAAAGGTTGTCAGCTTGTGGCTGCCTTAAGTCCCCTCCGCTAATACACCTGCCTCCCTAGAAAGCTCAAAGGGATGTCAAGAAAGAGTTTAGAAGCATTGCTTATTAAAGGTTTGTCATGAACTACCAACCACTATTTTCAAAAAAAAGTGTCCTTCATTGTACAAATCATAACAGAATTCATTATTAAAATCAACAACCTCTGCTTCGGAGTTATTTGTCTAAAGTGACCCTTCTAAATGGAACCACACTTCAATACAAGTCATTCAACAAGTGCTGTAATCTGTATATTTGTTGTGCATGTGACAGTCACAGCCACAAGGAACTTTTATTACAGAGCTCTCAGAGAATGCATTGAATTATTTTTCAACTGCACTAGGAACAGAAAAATCTCTGTGTAGAGGTCAGAAGCAGGGCCAGAATCACATCAGATGCTGTGCGTAGATAAAATCAAAATCTTCAGGGCTGATATAGTAAAGTCAGGAAGAGGAATGCTACTTCCACTGCACAGCTTGGAATTAGAACACTTGGGAGGCAGCTGCTGACTCAGCACCTGACAGACAAGTTGCAGCTGTACTCAGGTCCAGTTTTGTTACACCAAACCCAACCTTTGGCAGAGGTGGTCTGCAGGATCATAGAATGGCTGGGGTTGGAAGGGATCATAAAGTTTTGATGCCTCTGCCACAAGCAGGGCTGCCGGTCAGTAGATGAAGTGCTAGATGATCAGACTGCCGAGCGTCCATCTATCTGGGCCTTAAACCCCTCCAGGGATGGGTATTTCCCTCTCGTTTCATTCCAACTAGAGATCACACCATGCAAAAATCACTGCCATTGGAGCAGTACGTAGCAGGTGAGCTACAGCTCTGCACCACTGCATTTCCTGCCATGTTCAGATGCCAAAATGAAAGGGAAACGTTTAAAATGTGTATTTCCTTACCTATCTGTGTCCATACCCGACAATACATCCACTGAGTCGATTCTTTACTGTCCTTCCCACTGCAGTTAGCAGGATGCAGAGAGTCAGACACAATCAATACCCTCCACTACTAGATATGCTCCATTCAGCCACTGGGTGTTTGGAGCCAGTCCCAAATAAATAGTGAATAGTGAAATGCTTTTGTCAGGTTTTGAAGGGGCAGTAACATGATGCATAACAAAATGAGCTTTTAGCAGTTATTTGATTTCCCAGTGTGTCCTTTAATAGTTAACTGTGGAAAGAAGATGAAAATATTTGTTGTCCTTGCTATGAGAAGGGGGGAAGGTTTACACCTATATTCTATGAAATACCAGCAGTGGTGTGCTCTAACTGTGATATTTTGCTTAGAACAGTTTAGTGAGAATTTCAATTCATAGCTTTTTAGCAAGACATCTTGGGATTAATAAAGATGATTTTCTGCTAAAGATTTTCTACTTTTATTCTCTACTTTTCTAAAACCCGTTTTATTCAAATGTCTGATTATTAGAAGCTATTAAGGAACTGAGTATTGTTTTGGGCTGATGTGTAAATCTCACCACAACATCTTGCACACAGATACTAAATCATTATTTACAACTGTTTCTGAACACAATTAGATCTGGATCATTCAAGCTCCTCCCTGACATTTAAAATATATGTAAACCCATAACTTTGAACAGCTGTAAAATAAAAGAATCAAGTCTCTGTGGATCTAACTTTGCTCTACTGGGATATTTGTCATTGAGGTACGTCCTGCTACAATCTCACACAACAGCTCCCTGATGTTCATAATTTATTACTGAGATATGTTGTCCTTTATACATCGCGTTGACCTGGGAAGGGGTCCAACCACCCACACAAAGTGATGTAGAATCAAAACTCAAGGGTTTAACTGCAGACCTTCTACTCACCACCTTCAGCTGCTGCATCACAACTTTTAACCAAAATCCATGCGCTACAGTCATATTGGTTGGGAAAAGAGAGTGTTTTTATAACTATCTGCCTAGTAGACCTCTGAATGACTGCACTGGTACCTGGTCTGCTAAGCTGTTCTCATAAGAACACCACTCACTTTGCAGCTGGTTCTCCCATGCTGTAAAACACGCTCAGTTTCTCAAGCATTTCTTCCAGCCCACAGCATACAGCACATACTGCTGCTTGGGCTTCACATTCCCATGAATTCACAGCAAATTCAGTGCAGGGTTTCATCATGTGCAGTACCTTGGAAAATGCATATTTAATCCAAACTGTGTTTCTCTCTGACACAAATCAGAGAAAGCCATTAGTGATCTTGTCTCAAGTTCTTCCTAAGGCAAGCGAGTTTTTATTCTACACTACATGTTCTCAAAGCTGTCAGCTTTGAATAAGTCCATATTTGAAAGTTTCATGCTGTAAACTTAAAATTGCTTTTAGTAGAAGCTGAATCAATAAATATCTTTTCTACATACATTTCAAGGTTACTGAAGATCCCCCCCCCACCTTGTTATGTACTTCAGGTGCTTAAAAACAGATGGGAAAGACCAAGATGCCAAAGGAGTCTCCCCTTTTCAACGCCACTCCGCCAAAAGGAAAATAAATGGCAACTGCTCATAAGAAACCCTGTTTCTACATAACGTTTGTTAAACTCTAGAAAAGGAAATAGATGATGCCAGAGGACCAGCCACAAGGCCTCTCTTCCTGCGGCTCCCTTATAGGAACCCTGGAAGGAAACACAGGCAGTTTTGGGAACTGCATTTGCAGCTTCTCATTGACTCACATTGCTCACTCCACACCATCTCTGTGTCCAGCAGCATGCAACCCACCTGATTCCTTCACTGCATTTTTTTGATAATATACTTTACATACAAGTTCTATCCACGTTATTTGCATGGTTATTGACGTAAAGAGCATCATTTGCTTTTCTCATAACAAGTTGCTAAAAGAGCCACATCCTCTCTGCTCCATTTCCAGAGCTAAGGATTCACTGGTTTTTCTTTTTTTGCATTTCTGATTTATTATTTTTGAAGCAGAGAGATAGCCCCAGATATCCCCACATCCGCTGCAGCTACACCTCCTGTAGGAAGAGCTTCTTTCCCACTTTGTAGGATTTAGGCAGCCTAGCAGATTTTCACCTAATAGAATTTGTTTCGCTGGCCTCAGCATTTGCAGCTTCATAGCAGCCATGATATAAATGTATGCTGAAGCACAAAGCCACCTTCTTTGTACAGAAGCTACATGGAGATCAAAAACTAATGTACAGGTTTACTCCTATGGTTGAGCTGGAGCCAAGGGTATCAGAAACTATTTGGGAATTCAGACAACAGTTGTGGAACTGTAATGAGATCAAGATCTGGCAAGAGATCCACTAAAGCCTAGTGACAATGAGCACCACTGGTGAAAACAGTCTTATCCTGGCTAGAGGGAGACAGGTGGGCTGCTTCCTTTCTTGGTTGCAACCCACAACCTAACTCAAGTTAAGCTAAGTTCATTTCTCCTAATTCTCTCTTTTGAGCTACCCGGTCTAGAGGGAGGTCTCCCTGCCTGTAGTAGGCGGTTGGAAATAAATGATCCTAAAGTTCTTTTCCAACCCAAACCATTCTATGTTTCTACGATTCTAATGGAAGATTTATCTTCCTTAAATTCTCCTGAGACTGAAGGCCATGTTCCAGCCCTGCCTCATTCTCTCCCTTCTAGAAGCAGACCACTGACCCCATCACTGCAGCCTTTGGTCTATTCAGCATCCCTGCTGTCTTGTACAGGATAGGGAGCACCCAGCTGCAAAGCACAACAGCCAAGGGGAAGATGAGATTCAGAGGAGTTTCATCTCTATCAGATAAATAAAGTGAATCAACACAACAGGAAAAACATACCGCCTTTTTGCTGACAGCCCAGCCAGATGTCTGCTGACCGCAGCACTGTCCTGGGTGCAGTGGCTCAGGAGTCCTGCTCCACAATGCCTTCTGCATTTTACAGCCACATCTGCTCTGGAAAAGCACTTGAAGGATGATTTATCACTGCTTGTCAACGAACTGAAAAGCCCCCTGGAACTTTTTCACTTCATACTAACATTCCCAGATCAGTAATCTGCCCTGACATTTTCTATTCCTTTTCGTATCATTATTGTTGCGTGATGCGGTCACATAGGAGAATGGAAACTAACAGCAAAGGCCAAAGATCCATTTCATCACAAGTTCTTAAGCAAATTAGCACCAACATCCCTTGCCCCAGGGAAACCCAGCTTAGGACAAACCTGTAGTACCTACTGCAGAGGCCGTGAGTGAGACCATGTAAATGAAAAAAGAGAACCAGTGCTCCTTGAACATTCTCTGCATCGGGCCAATCTCAAAGCCACTGGAGCCAAAACTCCCATTAATTAATGGGAGCAAAGACTCCCATTAATATTATGCACTGTTTGGGTTGGGTGCCAAGATCTCAATAGCCATTTTTTCTACTTTTCCCATTTGACACTCCTCTCAGTCTGAGTATGGGTAGAAATAGTGCTTCACACTAAGATAATTCTTAAGCATGAAGCACAGAGGGGTTGGGTCCGTAGGTGGTGACACCATGCCATGAACCTTAATGCAACTTTTGCAGTCCTTGATTTCCTGGAGCTCACTAGACCACTCACTTCCTGCTCCAGGCACTCATCTTGATGTTCTTCTGCCCTCAGCCATGCAATACTTCCATAAAGGGCACCCAAAAAAAGATGCTGGTGACCCAGTGCACGCAAACAGTGGCAGATGCGGGGTTTCCAAAATACAGACCCAATCTGAGAAATCGCCTAAGCGCACATTAAGCATTAAGTAAACACCGTCACAAGCTTCTCCAGAGCCCTCTTTTTAAAAGATCTTCTTCAGGAGGCTCAGCCAGGGTTGCAGGCTGGCTAATGGATCTGATCTTCAGCCAGATCTGGAGATGAAATAGCACGTAGGGCAAGTCTGGCTCTGTAACTGACACTCCCTATCAGACCAAATGTCTCATCCGAGTAAACAGACTTACAGCCTCCTTTTTCCCCATGGGTTTATTTTTCCAGAGTAAGGTGAAGAATCAGCAATCCCTGAAAGCATGCCTTTCCTACCCGGTATTTCCATACAGCCTATAAATCTGAAAGGATTTTGAACAAAGGCAGAGCTCCAGTCATCTTTTACACGGCCAAAGGGTGCTGTATTCTGAGT